AAATTAATAATTAGTTCTTCCATTAAACTCGTTCCGAACTCTTACCGACAATTTTGTTTGATCTGTCACAGGCGTAGATACCTCATTTGAAAAATTTAATATTTTTATACATACGAGAAAGTATTCGTTAAAAGGCGATCGAATGATTATAAATTGGACGGCGTTATACCCGTTATTTAGATAGATGCACTTAATTGTAGTCCTACATGAAACTTAAAAAATCATTATTATAGCTCGTTAATTTGCTACAACTGAATATTAAATTATAAAAGGTAAATAGACTAGTAAAATGTACCTGCCTGTAAGGGCGTTTGGTTCAAACAGGGTACCAGACGTGAACTGATCCCTTTTTGTACCCCATTCGTTTTTTTTTTGGAAAACGAAGTTTCAAAGCAAAAACCATAAAGGAAAATAAATTCTTTGCAAATAAAACAAAACTATAAATTAATTTAGAAAAATGAATTTTATAAAAGAAATAAATGAATACGAACTAATAAAATAATAACAATGAATTAATTTGATGACTCTCTGATTACCAATAATGAAAAATAAGAAAGTTAATTCGAATCTAAATCTGAACCATCTGTCGAGGAATCGAGGTTTGGATATGTCGGCGTCAATTAGTGAAATCCGTCATTCCCTGAAACGCCTAGTCATTTCACGTATTGCCGGCAAACAGCGTAACTGTACATTTGGTACACTGTTTGCCTAACGGTTTCAGAGGTATTCCCAGTAATGACGGAATCCTTTCAGTCAAACGCTGTAACTAAATAAATGATTTAAGTTACTCTGTTTGCCGGGTTTAGTCAATCATTGTAATTAGGACAGTGTTGCCAGTAATACAGGAAAGGGTATTAAGTATTAAATTTAAAACACACTCATTTAGTGTCAGTATGTAATTACACAGGAGAATGGTTTGAACAAAAAAAAAATATCATTCTGAGATTAAATTCGCCTATCTAGAGCATACATACTATAAAAAAATCATAGAACGTACAAATTGGAACGAAATAAAATTAAAGCTACATGAAAACTATAAAATGATTGATAATATGGTTTATTATTTATTAGCGGAAGGTGCGCTTTTGCGACACCTTGAATTACAAAGACCTTTTTTTCTCACACAAACACATCTGTTTAACATTGTTTTTTCGCTGGCTTACATGAACACTTGAAGTATCCTTGACCTCCAGAAAGTAACAGCGACTGCACAGCTTCTCGTATTGATAGAAACTTTTCAGGGACCTCATCTACTTGAAGCAATACCTCTTTGGTTTCCATTATATAATGTCGCTTGAACCATGATTTGATTCGACCAGCTACACATCCGACTTGATAGACCCCATTTTTGTAATCTGTTGCAACACACATCAAATTTTGCATGTCAGAAGGACCTCTATCAATTTTATCAATAGGTAAAAGGACGCAAGAACCTATATTTATTGGTAGAATTTTTTTGCAGTATTTGCCAGCATTTTTTCTGCTGCTCGCTTTTGGCCCCGACTTGCATCATTTCTGTTTTCTTCAATTATTGCTGTATTTTGACATAATATACATTTACCTCCATCTTTGGAACATGTAATGCATAACGTAACTTCTTCCTGACTAAATATTTCTTCTGTGTTTTCATTGGTAATCACCAATGTTTCTATTTTTTCTTGATGCTCAGCAATCGAGCGAACAACATCCTCGTGACCATCAACCGATTCCCAATGCCATGTGGTTCTTCTATTTCATCACACTGTGATTTTTCTTGCAGGTTTTCATTTTCCATATGTTCTTCTTCTAACATACGCAAGTCATCTTCATTCTCCACTTTATTCAGCAAATATCTAGGTAGATTCAAAGGAGAAAATACTGCTTTATCGTCAGCTCTAAATAATGCTTTATATGGTGAACGTCCAATTACTTTGTGGTAGGAACTATCCTTTTGAAACTGTACGAAATAATAGCCCAGTGACCAGTTTTTTGAACTATGGACGTACATCCACACTCTTGATTGCTTCTCTCTATGCTTTCCTGTGATTCTGGATGCCTTGGTCGACCATGAAGAATTTTTAAAGATGGCCAAATTTCCACCATTTCCGATATCACAGATGCCGTGAATTCTCGACCATTGTCACTTTGGAGTATGCTAGGTACACCAATTTTTAAAAATATTTTGAGCAGTTCGTTTGCTACTTTATTCACAGTTTTTGTCTCAAAGGACGTAAAAATAAAAATTTTGTTAGGTGATCTTGATAATTAAGCAACCAACGGTATTCATTGTCTGGGCAAGATTGAAAATCCATAAGGTCCACTTGTCCTCTAGAGTTAAAGTTTGTTGAAATAATAGGTTTTATAGTCAAATTTGCATGAGACTTGTTTTTGCTTTTGGCAAACTTCACATGTTTCGAGCAATGTTTCTATTGCATATCTTCCAATGAAAAAGCAGACAATAAAATAACTCTTTTCACAAGCAAATTAATTAAAAAACCGTGTTAAACTTGACAACAGTGTACGGATTTGAAGTGATTTTGTAAATTGCAGTAGATTGAGGTTAAGTTTCAAATCCTAACAACCAACTTACCTCCGTCAATTCCGCAATATTCCAAGGTTTTTTCTTGCTTCGATTGGAGTAATAGTCATCTAACTTCTTATAAAACAATTCTGAATGCTTCGACATTTCAGTTTTCTTTAGAAAAAACACTCACAGATGTTAACAACAATTACAGCGTTCGACTAAACCCGGCAAAAGTATCTTAAATCATTTAGTTAGTTACAGCGTTTGACTTTATTACAGGGAATGCCTGAAACCATTAGACAAACGTTGTACCAAATGTAGAGTTACGCTATTCGCCGGCTATACGTGAAATAACTAGGCATTTCAGGGAATGACGGATTTCACTAATTGACGCCGACAGATATATAACTACTGGAGCTATAGAAGGTAAAATATGATATTCTTTTTCCTTTTTAGGACGTGAATAATGCAAATTTTCCAAACGTCAGTCAAAGACGGATCTTTAAAAACGCCATTAATATTTTCCAAATCATATTTGTTAAGGTAGGTGCAAAATTATTATGTCTCAGTTTTTGTTTAACTGAAGACCAAACTAATTCAATTGGATTAAGTACACAATATTAAGGTGGTAACCTCAATACAGTATGACCATCATCTTTTGCAAAATTATGAATATAATACTGTATTGGACTATTCTTACTTTAACAATTTGTAACAATTGTGGTTTTGTTTTTACGGAAGCAGGACTATCAATGTTATTATCTTTTGAATACTTTGATATATTTAATTTCTTAGAGTCACTACTTGGCCTCTTGTGAATTTGCCGGGAATGATATGGCGTATTGTCCATTACAATGACTGAATTAGTTGGAATATTTGGTAATAGTTGTTCAGTAAACCAGTTCTTAAAAACTGCTGCATTCATATCTTCATGATAAACCAGCAGAGCATTATTGACATATTTTGCTGAAAATATCGAAGCGTTTGCTACAAAGGCCTTTTCATTTCCGGCATATAAAATTATGACTCTAGCATCTACATCTACCCCAAAAGGTCTCCAGAAAGCATCTCATATAACACAAATCAAAATTTAACAGAAACACCGAAAAATAAAAACAGGTTTATAACAAACGCTTTGGGAAAATTTTTCAAACCGTGCACGCTAGTGGTCAAAGATAAGACAACTAAAGCAGCCAGGCGAGCCAGCAATTCTGGCCGCTCACTTGTGGACTTAACATCAACTGTAGGTGCGTAAATGTTTAAAAGTTAAGTGGGCCACATCAGAGGCTATACCAAGACGATTCACGCTTATTTGCAATGTGAGGGTATAGAATTTGTAGCATTCGCATGGCATGTAACGCGAATTATTACGCAATCCCGGTACAAACGCCTGTATTGGATTGAGTCTGGAAACACTATATATCAAAACTGACTAAATATCTTTATATTATATAACATTCCGGTATGCGTGTGTTATAGTATACTGAATAAATGATTTCATTTCAAGTAATATATTTTGCCAACGGAATGTAGCAGGACAACGATGCCTTCCGGGTCCGCTAGTATGTTTTTTACACTCACATGGATATAAGCTATTCTAATCACAGACTAAAAAAAGTATGCCATTGCGTTGAACTGAACGAATATATTTCATATCCATTCTACCTAGTAAGAACACTGCACAAATATGAACTCCAATCAAAGTTCATATTTTGGTCCTTGGGCTTCTATTATTTTTTTAAATTTTAAATAAGTGACAATTCTGTCAAACTAATTGTCACTATATTGTTTAGTTATTAAGATTAATCATATATTAAAATGAGTTATTTTTATATAGAATCGATAAATAATAGCATTTATATTTCGTCCATATTTGCAAATAAATCATAAATTTTAATAAAACTATATGAAATCAATTTAACTACGAATAATAAAATTAAAGTGGCGATGGAACTGAGACTAGCGCATTTGGCTGTCATGCGAGTGGTCCCGGGTTCAAATCTAGTATTGGAGACTTATTAAATTAAATCTTTTTTATATTTATTTAATTTTATAAATTAGAAAAAGTCATAAATTAGTAATTTTATCTCAATAACCTAAAATAATTTTTAAAATTTGTAGATATTCGTTAGTGGGCCATAGAAAAAATATACTGTACTACTCGAGTATTGCACTCAGACGATTTCGTACGATATGGCCATCATATCCACTCTTGTTTCACAAATTACTATTATTGCCCTATTCCGTTATACTCTTTGATCACGCCGAAATTGTGAAACTCTGAATGATGAGATATACTTTTGAGTTATATGTATTTTACTTACATCTGGTTGCAATAACATAGATTAAGATTTAAATATATAAAAGTATTATAAACATTGACAGATGTTTATAATTTGACGTTCATGTCATTCAGACTAATAGACTAATCACATTCTTAAGCTTTATCAGGCTCATAAATTTTAATGAAGGTTCTCGCTACTAAAGTTTTACTTACCGTCTTTAGATGTGTTGCTAGATGTTTCTTCCATCTTAAACTGTTGTCACAATATAACTAATTAACTATTTTAGAGATTTTAAAATTTTAATTTTTATACCTTTATTACCTCGTTAAAGTCGGGCATATTAGCCAATACAAGGTGTTTCAAAATTGTCTTGGAATATATATTTATTTTAGAATAGAATAACACAGAATACTGTGATTTGTCAATTCTTTTATTTATAATTTTTATTTTATTTTTACCTATACCGGATGACCAGGGCCACGGTCTCTTTTATTTATGAAGCGATTTGGATTAAATTTGGAATAAATCTACTATATATTTCAAATTGATACTTAATAAACAAATAAAATAATAAATAAATAATTAATAAACAAAATACCTTTTTTTGAATTTAATATCAAGTTATTTACGCTTTTTTTATGTGCTCTTTCCAGTTATTTCGTATATCTAGATTCATCCCTAGGTATTTGTCCGAATTGTGATGCGAAATAACATCATTATTTATTCTTATTTGTTTTGTTTATTTTGTTAAAAAATAAAATCAACAGACACTGATTTAGTTTAATTTATTTTTATTTTCTACTTTTTGTCCATCAATTAATTCTGTTGCATGTTTCCTGGAAAGTTTCTGAGGTCTCTGTATTAGTTCGGCCAACTGTTAATAATATTACGGTGTCATCCACAAATGTTGTTGAGGGATATCGCTGGTGTATAATAAGTATAGAACCGATCCTAGCACAGTGCCCTCTGGAACACCTGCTTCAATGTTTTTCATTTGGGATATGCATATTCTTGTTTCACTCTGCATTTTTGAGGTATGTCAATTTAACGATAGCCTACCTTGGCAGTTTTTAATATTTCTTCAGTAATAAGGTCATATCCTAGGACCTTCTGTGGGTTGATGTTCATCTGAATTTCTTTCACATCTTCATTGGGAGCAGCTAGCCTAATTTTAAGTCCTTTCATATTATGGATCGTCTCGTTAGTAGTGTCTAGTTTTTATTTTAAATGAAACGTATTTTGTAGGTAGTAAGCAATAATATCAGGCTTTCTGTTGATTGTCTTTTGCCTATTTGTTATCTACTATTCTGATAGGAAGACAGTGATTACACGAGTTTTTCATCTTTTTAGATGCCTGACAGAGCGAATAATCAGTTTATTTGCTATTTGTTAGCCCTACTAGGTATTATGTTATCTTTGTGATTTAGGATTTCTCTTCTCAGCTTTTTAATATATTTTCATTTTCTGGTGATATTGCGATATGCCATTTCTTTTTCAGTTATCTCTTTTCTTTTATTTCCACAGTATAGTTTTTTCCAGTTGTTATTCTTCTTACTTTTTCTATATTTCCCGAATAAACTTTTTCAGTCCTTTATTTAGCTGATTTTTTGTTTTTATTGTTATGATCAGTTAAATAGTATTCTTGAAAACCTTCCCAATTAATTTTCTGATTTGTTAAGCTTGGTTTTGCCTTTTTTTAATAACATCATTTAGAGTAAGAATTACTACAGAATCATCTGAATCAGTAAAAAGATTCTCATAATATTTGGAAATATCTTCTAAAAAGTGTAGAAGAGCATCAGCACTAGAAGGTGCTTTATCGGCTCTAGGAACGATATGCTGCCATTGTTCTAAGCGTTTAAGACCATATAAACATTTACAATGACATACAAAAATATATAAACCCACGAATTGAGAACCTCCTCCTTTTTTGAAGTCGGTTAAAAATTGGGGTCAACAAAAAAATAACAAAAGTTAGTAACTCTTCATTCAACTATTAAACTCTATAAAAAACAAATGTTCTTTTCTGTAAGTTAAATTTAATATGTAATTATTGTTATTTGTAAGTCAAGATCTATGACTGCAAAATTTTATATTATAGAAACTTGTAATAAAATAAAATAAACTACACTCCGTAAGATACGGGTTGTGACTAGTTTAGAATAAATATATTTAGAAATAAATACATTAGGAAAGACTTGTATTTCGTGCAAAACTTTTTAATTAATGAATGCAAAGCGCTTTCGGCTTATTTGCCATCATCAGTGCTTATCTACAAAAATTGTGGATGTAAACTTACGATTTAAAAAAATATATTATAAAATCTAAATAAGACTTTTAAGTCAAAAGTTAAAATTGTATATATACGATTGTTTGGACAAATTAACAATTACAAGAAACAAACAAAGTGACAAAAAACTGGTATTGGGAATAGTGAGTGTGGGATAAGCCCTTACAAATCATATCTGATCTCCAGAAGCAAGTTAGCTTGCGTGGAATTAAGGAATTATGCCACCTTCAATATTCACACAATTGAAAACAAGTTAACAAATTAGTTAAAATTTAAAGAAAATAGAAGGTGACTGTGAAAGATATAATGAAATTTGAATATATAATACAATAGTTAATATAAAGAAAGTTAAACGCAGAAGGCCAAAGTAAAAAAACTGAAGGTTTTTTTTTATATTTTATATACATTATAATTATAAAAAAGTCTACCTACTGTCCACAACGTATCCAACAAGTTCCTGGTCATCAACATTCCCAAAATTAGATATTTCGGGATATTTACAACTTGCTAAATCATAATCTTAGTATTAATATTTTTAAATTTAAATTTATCTATTCATTTTTATTCAAGTTGTTTAACCGTTTCCACATGACAGTGGTGACAAAAGACACTTGAAGACGTTGACTTGTCAAATGTCAAGAGAAGGAGGTGCGTTCACCTCAGTGTGGAACATGTTTCTCAGAGTGTGATTCGAGTGATTGGAGGTGGTTAACGGAGATCATAATTTGTTAGTATTGAATTTAAAGATTTGATTTATTGTTAGTTAAATTTAAATAAATGTTTAATATAAATGATATTGTTATTTTGATGTCAAAGCAAAACAATAATGTCACTCGCGTGATTCTGATGTGCCAGCACGGGCTCTCTTTCAGAGAACCCAAGATGGCATAACTGAACCCGCGGTCCATAAAGGTGAATCTGATGTTTAGTCCTAAAAATTACTAAATCACTCATCAAGCGTACTCATGGTTGAATTGTATTATAGATTCAAATTTCATTATATCTTCCACAGTCACCTTCTATTTGTAAATTTCTTTAAATTTTAACTAATTTGTTAACGTGTTTTCAATTGTGTGAATATTGAAGGTGGCATAATTCCTTAATTCCACACAAGCTAACTTGTTTCTGGAGGTCAGATATGATTTGTAAGGGCTTATCCCACACTCACTATTCCCAATACCAGTTTTTTGTCACTTTGTTTGTTTCTTGTAATTGTTAATTTGTCCAAACAATCGTATATATACAATTTTAACTTTTGACTTAAAAGTCTTATTCAGATTTTATAATATATTTTTTTAAATCGTAAGTTTACATCCACAATTTTTGTAGATAAGCACTGATAATGGCAAATAAGCCGAAAGCGCTTTGTATTTATTAATTAAAAAGTTTTGCACGAAATACAAGTCTTTCCTTTTGAATCTAAACTACGTGCACACAGCTGTCAACCTTTTTTGGTTATTTTAATAAATACATTATTTTATTTACATTAGGCGCTTTAAAAAGACATTAAATTGATTTCTCCTTGTTTTCTTTAGTTTTACATCTGATTTGTATCCCGTTTTACAATCTGGAATGAAGTAAATCTTGCTTTGATGTTTTTGTCACTCATGTTAATTGTACTCAGGTTTTTTTCACAATATTTTGATTCTTTTCATGAATTAAAAAAAAACACTTCATTTTACATTGACTTACATAGAAAATTGACAGCGCTGATGTTCGACCTACCAACTACATTCAACTTAGCGAACTTTATAAAAACAAGGATGGAAATTTGAAATTTGACCATTGCCGATTCGCCTCCTCTCTAGTCTTCATACCTATAATAACTGTCATGATCCATGTTCTTAACCTTAGAACACTAATATGATATTTTTTTACACCTACATGGATATTAGCTTATCTACGCACAGACTACAAAACTAAAACGTATTGTATTGCGTTAAACTGAACGAAAATATTTCATATCCATTCTAGTATAGGTAACTGCGAACACTGCAAAAAAATGAAATCCATCAATCACGGTTCACATATTGGTCACCCGACTACTATTGTTTTTAAAATTTTAAATGGGTGACAATTCTGTTAAACTAATTGTCAGTACACTTTTTAGTTTCTGAGATTAACTATATATTAAAATGATCGATAAATATTCGCATTTTTATTTATATTTCGTTCACACTTAGAATAAATCTTAAATTAATAACCAAACTATATGAAACTAATTTAATTACAAGTATTAAAACTAAAATCCTAAATGAAGCAGTGGATGTGAGGATATAAAAAGCCCGTCTTTCGTGCGAGAGGCCCGGGTTCAAATCTGGGCTGGGGACTAATTAAATTAAATCTTTAAAAACAGTGGGATTTATATATCCCAGTAATGTTTTTAACTTGGATATATATTTTCCATAGTTGATTTAAATTTGAAACGAAGTGAAATAGTCCATACATAAAGATTAATTACACATTTTACATGATATTTTGATAGTTATGCATTTCCGTCTTTTGCTGCGTACACTTGTATAATTTTCCCTTCTTACCTTTTACCGGTAAGTGATTATCAACATCAAACATTCTCTGGGATGCTTTAGAATGTAGTCCAACCTATTGGAACATAAGTATAGACATGTCATAAATACCGAATGGGTCATATGCATTCCAACAACTGATTCCATTGAGAATATCCACGTAATTTTTGATAACTGCTATTTACTTTTTTCAATTCGTTCGTTATTTGAGAACTTATTAGTAAATTATTAATTAAAAATACTTACGAACTCGACAGAAACTAGAAAATTTTTATAAACCGCAATGAAGCTAAATCATTGCTACAAGTTTAAAAAATAACATTGCCTGTCTATAAAATACTAAAACGTTCCAGCTGAATATATTTTTAGTAGGTTTTCCCACTGTTAGTAATTTTTTTAAATTTGCTAGGACTTATGTCCCTACAGAAACGAAAGAGTTAAATAGATAATGTCACCCCTTAACTAA